GACTACCCCATTCTGTTGCGGCGTATCGGTGCAGGATGTCTGAAGAATCATGCCATGCTCCTCATAATATGCCGGGAGAGTAAGGGTTTGAAACTCAGGGCCATTGTCCGCCTGAATCCACAGAACAGCTCGGCCAAACTGAGTTCGCGCCAACTCACAGTGAAGTTTGAGATAACGTTCAACATCGGATTTATATTTCATCAAATAAACCCAGGTAGAACGACTATAATCATCAACAATGGTGAGAAAATAACGAGATCCATCCAAAGCTGGAGTACTATAAGGACCCCAAATATCCATATGGAGCAGCTCAAAACTGTTACCGGTTTTAATCGTACTCAAAGGAAACGGCAGACGGGTCTGTTTTGCTCGTAAACAGGAGTCACAATGTGAAGAATCCCGAGACAAAGTAGTACTTGTCAAAAGATGGATGCCCGAGTCGAGTATGCCACAGAGCTGAGGTCTCCACTGAGCTTGACGCCTTGAGAGTCTGACGCACAACAGGCAGGCCAACTCTAGGCAGGTAGTAAAGTCCATCTCTAAGGCGTCCCACTCCAATCAGCGTCTTGGAAGGTAAGACCTGGAGCATGCAAAAATCATGCAGAAATGTTACCACCACGTTGTGATCCTGTGCTAACCGACTAACCGACAATAGGTTGCACTTGAAAGCCGGAACGTGTAAGACCCTGTCCAACCGTATGGAGTCACTAAACTGAACCGATCCCATTCCCTTTATCGGAATACCAGACCCATCCGGTATACGAACCTGAGACTGCCCAGAAACCGAATAGACTGAATCCAACCAACTACTATCACGAACAATGTGTTCGTTACAACCAGAATCAAGTAACCACATATTAGGTTCAGAATGATTACCGGCCATATGTGCTGTGGGAGTGGACGGCGAATCTGTGGAGCTCGAAGTAAGGAACTCCTTCAGCTGAGCAAACTGAGCCGCGGTCAGGCCCGGTATAGGCGAGTTCGCTTCTGGTTCCACGTGAGCCGCTTTGGGACGGCGCGGTGCAGCTCGCTCATCGCTAGGCTTCGCCCGAGGGTGTCCCGGTGGATAGCCGATCAATTTGTTGCAGGTCTCGCATGTGTGCCCTTGCCGATTATAGTGCGAGCAGCGAGGCTTATCTCCCTCAACCCTAGACTCATGCTCAGCAGCTCGCGAGTCACGCCGGCAAGAGTTTGAAAGGCCGCTGTGTCCACCGTTGGCGCCGCAAACTAGTGATGTTGCGGTGCTGCTCCTCAGCTGAAACCATTTGGTAGGCGTCCGCCAGCGTGGGAGTAGGCCTCGTACCAAGAATCTGCGATCGGATGACAGAGTAGGCTTCATCCAAACCCATCAGAAATTCAAACAAGCATTCGGTGTCTTGTTGACCGTGGTAGACGCGGAGCCAATCACATGAGCAACCGCCGCACGTACAGCCCGCACAAGTACAGCGAGGCACGCCCCTGATCGACTGCATCTCGTCCCAAGTCAAACACAGCTTGGTGTAGAACATCGAGACTGACAGCTTATCCTGGCGAAAAGTGTTGAGGCCGCGCCGCAGCTCATAGGCGCGCTGCGAGGAACCACGGCTGAAACGGCGCTGCAAATCAGCCCAGATGGCGCGCGCTGTCCCTTCCGTCCGCACGCTGTTGCGCACTTCTTTCGTCATAGTCGTCTTCAACCACCCCTTTACCGTCGCATCACAATGATCCCAAGCATCCTGACGCAATGCAGAACCGGCTTTGGTGCGGGGAAGAGAGCCATCAACAAACGCCAACTTATTTTTGGCGACTAGTGTCTCTGTAATATCGTTAACCCATTCTCCATAGTTCGAATCATTCAGCAGGTCACCGCCAAACAATTGCGCGGGATTTTCCGAAGGGTGCAGATAGAGGGGGGAGCTGATCGGGATCACATCATCGCTGGAGATGACCGTCTTGCCGCCGCTAGTCTCCTCGTCCTTTGTGCCCATGATGACGGAGGTAAGAAACTACGCCGAATCGTTACAGCTCTGATACCATAATAAGTTTGATGTCGCGGAAAATAAAAAGAACACGGTGATTTACGTGGTTTTCCCGAAGATCGGGACTAGTCCACGGAGAGCAGAGCTCTCAGGTAGGGTTTCACTATCTCTGTTCAAAGAAGAAGAACACAGCCGCTAAACCTCATTAGGGTTGTAGTTCGGCCAACACAAAAGCCTAAATACCCTTCACCAAGACACGGGTATTAGGCAAAATAACAAAGTCACCATGCAACAAAGTAAAATGTACAAACAAGTACATAGTCCAGGTCAACATTTCGGTTTTAACCGATAACTGATTGGTCGGTTATCGGTTAATCGAAATAAACACCCCCTTACCGAAAACCGACCGAAATAGGCTTCAGTTTCTCGGTTACCTCGGTTATCGGTTAACCGAACCACTTTTAAGACCAAAAAACATTTTGGCCAGCTTCCGATAACCGACCGAAGTTCGGTTACTTCGGTAACGGGTTAGTGAATAACCGGCCGGTTATCGGTTTAACCGGTCGGTTAACCGATAACAGGTAACCGAACTGCCACCCGTAATCGTTATAATTGAGGGAGAGGGGCGGCTAAACCTTTACCGACTATTTTAATTGCTAAATTTGTACAAAATTTACATGTAATTTTATCTATATTTCAAATTGAATGAGACTACATTCCATCCTAGCTACCTTCAACCTAGCACCATCACTCACGTACGACGAGAACATAAACTTCCAAACCATGTACGTCCTAGCTACTTTTATACCGTTGGATAATAAATTCAAAATATTCTAATAAAATATTAGTAAATGGCATATGATCCACGATTGAACATCTCCCAATAACTCGAGTTATTGGGACTAACTGGTTCTTAACATGGTATCGGAGCATTCTATGACTAAGAGGTCCGGCAGGGGCGGATACATGGGCCTCTAGGGGTGTCCCGTGACACCCCTAAAATTTGGGGAAATGATTATCCAACCTCCGGTAGTAATTTCGTATGGGTATACAAAATATAATTGGTAATCCGGGACACCCTAACATTTGAAAAAATGATTATCCTACCCTCGATAATAGTTTTCTTATGATTAACAAAATATAAGTGGTAGTCCGTGTTATTCCAACCTAGGACACTATTATTATCAAACATATTCTAATTATGTTGCTACTCATTTGTTATTCTATTTTAAACATCATGCAACAATAAAACGCTATTTCTTTATCGCCAACTATTTTCAATACCTAATAATTAAACTACGTACACGCTACCCTTAATTTTGAATTGATTTTATGGTTACACGACAAGTGTTGAAAGTTCTACTTTGAGCTACATTAAGAACAAGGTTAGAAATCGAATATCTGATAAGTTCGTGAAGTATTGTCTAGTAGGATATGTAGATTTTTTTTTTTGAACAGTGCAGATACGGAGTTTATTTATATTATTTTTTCAAAATATGAATTTTAATTTATTATTTAATAAAAAAATTAATACAAATTATACAAGTATGATATTTTTAATATACGAATTATTTAATTTATTATATAATTACATTTAATTTTTGAAGAGGATACCCCTATGAAAATTTTCTGAATCCGCCACTGAGGTCCGGTAACCCCATTTGTTTCTGTTAAGCACATGGTATCTGATATCTGTGCAAACTTCAAGCCCATATATAAAACATCTTCCAATAATTCGAGTTATTGAAACTAATTAGTTCTTGAAACAAAATTCCTAAGAACGTGTCGTTAAAGGTTTGACGTACATTATCCTGTAATCGAAATATTAGCCGTCCACTACTTATCTAGTATAAGTTGCCGTCCACTTATCTAGTATAAGTTGCACTAATTTGACATGCATGTAAAAACTAGAAATGAGTAGATCCAAGTCTGAAGTCTCAAGATAACCCATCCACGTGTAGGAACTCCACAGTTTTGGATGAATACCGCCCACACCTAAACTAGACAAGCCCTAACTCACTGAAACGCTGTGCAAATATGGGAAATCAGGTTCGTCGTGGCCAATGTTGTCAAAACCGAGCCGAAGCATGACTCGGTATTGTGAACGGCTCGTATTTTAGTGGTCCAACTGGTATTAACGAGAACCGGTACCTTAAAAACAATAATATCAAAAGTAAAAGATACATAGGGTAGTAATTTAACAATTCAATGACTAAAATGAAATTTAATTTGCAAGTACCACTTTGTAATTTTACATTTATATATCAAATCATTTTAGAAACCCTACCATAACCCTCCTTGTAGCAGCCGCCAATCTTTTTTATTCTTCCATTCTCCCATAACCTTGGTCCTTTAAGACTATCGCCCTTCTTCTTTCTTTCTCCTTCAACTCAAGGTCGCCTTTTTCTTCTTTCTTCTTCCGTTCAAGTTTAGACAAAGAAAGAGCTGGTAGTAGATGGTGTTGGGGATTAGCGGAAATGTGGTATGATTTAGGATCAACACAAAAGAAATTTTTGGTGTTTAATCACTCAATTTAAGAAACACTCAAACAAACAAGGCCTTATTATTTTGGCTCTTGCTTTACATACATACACGCATGGGAGACTTCTTTCTTTCTTTTTCTCTTGTCTCTGACTCTCTGACTCTTCCCTCTTCTTCCCATACATACATATATATATTGAAATGAAATACAAACATATAATGCAACAACACATGGCTTGCTCCCTCTTATCTTCCATGCATTTACGTAGATCAATTAGTTGAGGGAAGTGACAATAAGCTTGGCCCATCCAATAAATAATTGTATATCCACTCTTCAACTTGCTCATCATCTTCAATTTTCTGTCTCCATGTTCACTTGATAATGCATAACATTATTGGTAGTTATGCTTTCTTCTCATGATGTCAAATGGATGGCTTCAATAATATTTGATAATTATTCCAACCAAAATGGTAATGCATTTGTCTCCTTGAGTTGATGGTAATGGGCCATAGTTTAGTAATGATAATTTACTATTGCAAATTACCATTTAACACCCCCTCTTAATTTGCAATTTGAAGTACCTTCTTAAACTTCTCGAATTTCTCACGGGTGACCGCCTTTGTCATGATATCTGCTGGCTGGTCGTCGGTGTTGATAAATTCCATCACGATTAATCCTTCGTTGACGAGGTCTCGGATGAAATGATGACGCAACTCGATATGCTTCGATCTTGCGTGAAATACTGGATTTTTTGTCATGGCTATGGCTGACATGTTGTCACAATGAATAATGGTTGGACCATTTTCATTTTGCTGCAAATCAGAAATTAATCTTTTTAGCCATACCGCTTCGCACGCTACATCTGTAGCTGCGGTATATTCTGCTTCTGCTGAAGATAATGCCACAATCTTCTGCTTCTTTGAACTCCAGGAAATGGGTTTTGAACCCAGGCAGAATATGTACCCCGATGTGCTTTTTCGATCATCCAGTGATCCTGCCCAGTCACTATCGGTATATCCAGTCAGCTTGCTTTCTGCTTCTTTCTTGTACATCAGGCCCAATTTCTTTGTACCTTGAAGATACCGCAAAATTCTTTTGGCTGCTGCAAAATGAAGTTTGCTAGGTTCATTCATAAATCTTGATATAAGACTTACTGAATGACATATATCAGGCCTGGTATGTGTCAGGTAAATGAGTGACCCGACGAGACTTCTGTACAGCTTTCCATCGACTTTTTCAGCTCCATCATTGCGTTGTAATTTCTCGTTTAACGCCATTGGTGTTGAGATTGGTTTGCACGTTGCCATGTGAAATCTTTTCAGCATATCTTCGGTGTACTTCTCCTGTGAAATAAATATTTCTCCAGGTGACTGCTTCACTTGGATCCCAAGAAAATATTTCATGAGTCCCAAGTCCGTCATCTCGAATTCTTTCATCATGGTGTTTTTTAATTCTTCGATCATATGTTGATTTGTACCTGTGTAAATCAAGTCATCAACATACAAACAAACCATTAGATAATCTTTTCCTTCTCCCTTTTTGATGTAGAGAGATGCTTCACTCGGACTTCTTTGAAATCCGTTTTGCTGAAAATATCGATCGATTCTGCTGTTCCAAGCTCTCGGTGATTGCTTCAGCCCGTATAAAGCCTTTCGGAGACGATAGACTTTGTCTTCTTCTCCTTTTTTCTCATAGCCTCGTGGTTGCTCCACGTAGACTTCTTCTTCCAGTTCTCCGTTCAGAAATGCTGATTTGACATCCAGCTGGTATACTGGTAACTCCAGTTGAGCAGCTAGAGCGAGAACTGTTCTGATGGTCTCCATCCTCGCTACTGGTGCATATGTCTCGTGAAAATCAATACCGGGTTGTTGTGAATAGCCCTTTGCCACCAGTCGAGCTTTGTACTTCTGGATAGTACCATCTTCATTGAATTTGATCTTATAGATCCATTTGAGACCTATAACCGACTTGTCCTCCGGTTGATCAACAAGCTCCCATGTCTTGTTTTTCTCGATCATGGAAATTTCTGCATCCATTGCCTCGTTCCAAACTTCATCTTTGGATGCTTCTTCAAAGACTTGAGGCTCACAAGAAAAATATGCAACATGACTTGTTTCATAAATTTCTCGCAAAGACCTTGTTCTCAACGGAGGTGAATCCGAGTCTCTTACGACATCTCTGAAGTTGTCTCCTTCTGGGCTAGGTGCAAAATTTCTTTCTGGACTAGCAACTGGATCTGGTTCGTTGCTGGGGTCTTTTGGAGTTGCTGAGTCCTCCAGAATTTCATAACTTGGTGGAGATTGAGAAATTGGATTTTCCCAATTCCACTCCGCCATCTCATCAAAGATCACATCTCGGGAAACCACCACTTCGTTCTTTACTGGATTGTAAAGACGATAGCCTTTGGACTCATCACTGTAGCCAGTGAAGATCAACTTTTCTCCCTTCTGGTCAAACTTGTCTCGGTTTGGAGTAGAGATGTGTGCATAAGCTATGCACTCAAAGACTTTGAGGTGATCCACCTGTGGCCTCCTGTGGTGCCACGCATGTATCGGTGTCTTGTTCCGAACTGCTTTGGTTGGTGATCTGTTGAGGATGTAAATTGTTGTATTGACCGCTTCTGCCCACAAGTTGTTGGGAAGCTTTTTTGCTTTGAGCATACTTCTCGCCATCTCCACAATCGTGCGATTTTTCCGTTCTGCAACGCCATTTTGTTGTGGTGTGTAACGGACCGTCAGCTGCCTTTTGATTCCGTTGTTGCGGCAATACTCCATGAACGGAGTATAAATAAATTCTCCTCCACGATCTGTTCGAAGGGTTTTGATTTGATGGCCGCTTTCCTTCTCAGCTACTGCTTGGAATTGAAGGAACTTGGGAAAAGCTTCTGACTTTTGCTCCAGAAAGAATACCCACATCATTCTGGTGAAGTCATCTACAAATAGTAGAAAGTATCTTTTGCCGCTGAGTGATTGTGTTCGGGTTGGACCGCATATGTCTGCATGTACCAACTCCAGTGGCGCTTTTGCTCTCCAAGATGTCTTTGGAAATGGTAAACGATGCATTTTGCCATATATGCATCCTTCACAGATCTTGTCTTCTCTGTTGATCTGGGGAAGTCCCACCACCATATTTTTCTGCTTCAACAATTTGAGGCCTTTGAAGTTGAGATGACCGTATCTGAGATGCCATAGGAATGATTGATCCAGATTTTCACTCTTGAATGCTACTTCACCATTTTGTGACATAGCAAGAGAGAAAATTATGTTAGAAGTCATCGGGACTTTGGCCACCATGAAATTGTCAGCTTTGTTGATAATCTCGCACACGCCATTATCAAACAATAGCTTGTAATTTTTCAGCATCAGTTATCCCACGCTAAGTAGATTGAGAGTTAGCTCCGGAACATACAAAACATCTCGAATGAGAGTTTTGTTGCCTTCTTCTGTGCATACAACAACTGTGCCTTTTCCTTCCACTTTTAGCTTCTTCCCGTTGCCCAATTTGACTTGAGAGCGGTATTTGTCATCGATGTCGGTGAAGGACTCCAGATCTCCAGTCATGTGGTTACTGCAACCACTATCCACCATCCAGGGAAGCTGTGATTTTTGCTCACCATTCAAGCATGACAAGGCCACCATATTGCTTTCTTCATTTTTGGTGCCGCTTGACTCGCCATCTTCTTGCTTGTTCTGGAACCAGCAATCTCTCTGGGAGTGGTTTTGAATTTTGCACTTGGTGCACTTGAATCTGCAGTCTTTTGTTGCATGACCCGCCTTTTTGCAAATTATGCAACTCGAGCCGGTGTAGCCCGATTTTTGTTGTTGATAATTTTGTCTGTTGTTTCCTCTGTAATTGGATCTTCCTCTTCCTCTCCCTTGTGAGTTTCCCCCTCTCTGGCCTTGCTCCGATTTGGCATATTTACTTTCCGCCATGTTGACTTTTGACGAGAAAGCTTGCTCCAATGGCGGTTTGGTGAAGCGGTCATTCTTTGCTCGTGTGCTACAAGTGAGCCCATCAACTCGCTCATTGGTAGATTTGCCAGATCTTTGGTTTCTTCAATGACAGCAACAATATGCTCGAACTTTGATGATAAGCTCCGGAGAATTCTCTCCACGACCTTCCTCTCTTCCATGACGTCACCAGTGGCTTAGATCTGATTGACTGTCTCCGCAACACGCGAATGGAAGTCTTTGATGGTGTCGGTTTCCTTCATCATCAAGTTGTCGAACTGTCGCCATAAACTTTGGCGCCTGATGGAGATCGCCTTTTCAGAACCTTGGAATTGTTCACGCAAGACATCCCAAGCTTCTTTGGCCTTTTTGATGCCATAGATTCTTGGGTAAATAGATTTGCTCACTGCTTGCTGAATGATTCTCAAGGCGCTGGCATTTTGCTTGGCATTCTCCTTGTACTCCTTTGTCTTCTTGTCTGATCGTTTCTTCGAGTCTTCATCATCTTCCTGTGGACTTTCATAGCCATCTTGGACTATATCCCACATATCTTGAGAGATGAAAATTGGCTGCATTTGGGCACTCCAATACTCGTACAATTCTCCATCGAAAATGGGAATTTGATTAGAAGAGGTAGCAAACATGCTGTTTGAGGAAGTTGTTGCCATGGATTTTTGAGAGGATTGGGTAGGCTAGAAATTTGGGGATTTTTGAGAGGATAGAAGGGTATTAGCTATGATACCAAATTTGTTGGGGATTAGCGGAAATGTGGTATGATTTAGGATCAACACAAAAGAAATTTTTGGTGTTTAATCACTCAATTTAAGAAACACTCAAACAAACAAGGCCTTATTATTTTGGCTCTTGCTTTACATACATACACGCATGGGAGACTTCTTTCTTTCTTTTTCTTTCTTGTCTCTGACTCTCTGACTCTTCCCTCTTCTTCCCATACATACATATATATATTGAAATGAAATACAAACATATAATGCAACAACACATGGCTTGCTCCCTCTTATCTTCCATGCATTTACGTAGATCAATTAGTTGAGGGAAGTGACAATAAGCTTGGCCCATCCAATAAATAATTGTATATCCACTCTTCAACTTGCTCATCATCTTCAATTTTCTGTCTCCATGTTCACTTGATAATGCATAACATTGTTGGTAGTTATGCTTTCTTCTCATGATGTCAAATGGATGGCTTCAATAATATTTGATAATTATTCCAACCAAAATGGTAATGCATTTGTCTCCTTGAGTTGATGGTAATGGGCCATAGTTTAGTAATGATAATTTACTATTGCAAATTACCATTTAACAGAAGGCACCTGCAATATAATCTCTTCCTTTTCTCTCTTTTCGTTGTTCACGATTTTGTGTGGGGAATGGAGCGAGCCGACAATTGAGGGCGCCGCCAACGTCGACGTGTTCCCATTGGTTGGGTTCCGGGCTTCCGGCGATGTCAACCCAACAACCGTTTTTTATTTTTCAATTTTTTTCTTCTTCGTCACAGCAGGCAGCCAAGAGTCGAAAACCGGTCGGGCGGTCCGAGCGGTTTGAGCGTTTAACCGTTTTGGCCGCTAGCTGACCGCCCATTCTGCCCGCTACGATTTTTAGACTGATCCTGATCGAGCTGGTGACCGGGTGCCGGTTTTACTGGTTGGACCGACCGGCTCGGCCCGGTTTTAACAACACTGGTCGTGGCAACCAAGAGCACTTCTACTATGTTATATAACATTGGTGCTTTACTGTATAACTTGAAGTTGTACCATAACATTAAATGTATAAGTTTAGGTTGTACCATAAAGAAATTTGTACCATTATGTTATGGTACAACTTTACAACATGAAGTTGTACCATCACATAAAGGTACAAGTTCAAGTTGTACCATAAAAGAATTTGTACAAAAAGTATAGGTACAATATGAAGTTGTACCATAACATTAGATGTACAATTTTAAATTGTATCATAAAAGTAAAAATCTATAGCACCAATACTATATAGCATTGTAAAATTCCTCGACAACACGTGGAAGAGAAGGAAAAAGGCAATGGGTCGGTCGAGTTTCTCAGTACATATCATGCAGCCTAGTTATTCTGCTAACTTGAAGATTCGTTAGTATATACTAACTAATATCCAAAATATATGAACTAATATACAAGTCTGTTGAGTATCTAGATAGCACAGACTAGTATTCAAAACATCACAAACCAGTATCCATATAGCAGATATCAACTAATATCCACAATCAACCAACTAGTATTCAATATGGATACTCTTGTGTGTTATCTGGATACGCTTATGTGTTATCTGAATATTAATTATGTGTTGTATGGATACTATTCTGTGTTGTCTAGATATTAGTTTGTGAATTTGGCATAATAGTTGATTCATGGTAGTATTCAGTTAACAAACTTTGAATACTAATCTGTGCTCTCTAGATATTTTAATACTTGTATATTAATTCATATATTTTAGATATCAACTAATATCTGCTAACAAATTTTCAACTTAGCTTCTTAACTTTTCCCCGTATCATGCTGTTGAAGAAGTCCACAGCACAGCTGCCCTAACTTTGGAGGGTCTCTCGCCACATTGTGCGTGTAGCGCGTAGGGTACAAAACCCTAGGTGAGGACCCACCAAGAAAATGGGAAGACTTTTTTGAAAGGACAGATTCATGTTACACGGTTAGCATTTATGTGAAATATAGCAATCAATTAATTCTATAACTGCATCACATTGTACACTTGTACTTCTCGGCAGTGGCCAGTGAGGCACATGCTCATTACTGGTACTCGTGAGCACTTTGTCACGCGTCGATAATAAAATGTGTACATTTATCATAAACAACCTTTTTTTTTCCATATTAGTTCACTTGATTGATTGGCTTAATAAAAGAGCACTTCTACTATGCTATATAGTATTGGTGTTTTAATGTACAACTTAAAATTGTACCATAACATTAAATGTATAAGTTTAGGTTGTACCATAAAGTAATTTGTACAATTATGTTATAGTACAATTTTACAACTTGAAGTTGTACCATCACATAAAGGTACAGGTACAAGTTCAAGTTGTACCATAAAAGAATTTTTACAAAAAGTATAGGTACAATCTAAAGTTGTACCATAACGTAAATGTACAATTTTAAGTTGTACCATAAAGGCAAAACCTTATAGCACCAATACTATATAGCATTGTAAAATTTCTCTTAATAAAAATATTTCTTTAAACAAGTCGTTGATGTATAGATTTTCCTTGTAACAGGACAAACAGTTTGGATTATATGATGTATAGATTTTCCTTGTAATGACAATTACGGCTCAAGATAGGGTGCATAATCATGGGTTATGCACCCATCAATAACTAAATATGGACCCTTCATATAGAAAATACAGATCTAAGGATAGAGAATTAAAGATCATTTTTATTTTCCCTAGCTTTTTTAATCGACTCATATCTTCTTTGTTTTAACTCGGATTTTAATTTTTTTTTTTTTTTGCATAGATGGAACGAGTTCGTTGTGCTCTACAAAATGAGATCCATTTTCAATATTTTTTGAGAAAAAAATGTCTTGCCTCTCGGTACCAACTGCATGCCATATGGTATCTTCTTCGTTTTTAATTCGTTTTTGAAAACGTTTGCACAGAAGGAACGAGTTCATCATGATCTATTGGATCGAAAAATTTCTGAGTGAGCAAATTACAGGACCAAAATTACCACACAATACCACCCTGGTACGGGGTGGTATCTTGTGGTACACAATGTTTAATGTCGTAAATGACAGTTGATATACTTCTACTATCATGTATTCAACCATCCTAAAGTCTTGGTTTATTCATACCACCATGGTACGCTTTTCAAACCATAGGTATGCTCTTATTTCAATTGGTAAAAAATGGCTCAATTTTTTTGTTCAAAAAATATATCAAAGTGAATATCATTTTGAAGAGCACAATTAATCTGATCTAACTGTGCAAAAAAAAAATCGACTTAAAACGAGTGAGAAATCGTTCATAGAAGATTAAGGAGGGAAAATTAAAAATTTTCCAGGAGAGAGATGTTGATTTCATGCTGATGTGGACGGGTTACTCATGGTCATTCACCATAAAATTACTGACATGATCCGTTCCCGACAATTACAATGAAAAAGTAGGAGTGCCGGTATTATAAAAAAAAGTAGGAGAGACGAAATATTCTTTTATTAATATATTATCAACGACAGTTACATCTAACATTTCTTGAAAATGAACTCTAAAGAATAACCTAGTGATAATATGAAGATGATAGCATCTATCATATATTCAGACTATGAATCTAAAAGTCAGTAATCGCCTAAAAAGTTATTGGGTTAATAGCATTTTCTACCCTCTACTTTCGCAAATTAACAAACGTACCCCTCTACAAAAAATTTTGTACAAACATATCCTTCTAATATTAAACCATAACGAACTTATCCTTCCGTCTAATTATCGGTTAAATAACCGTTAAATGAACTGAAAATTGACCAAATTACCCTTAATTTTATTTTAATTATTTTCTAATCCAAAATCAATTAAAATTAAAAAAGAACCCTAAACTAATCCCCTCCCCCATCACGCAGCAGTGCGCCAGTGCGGCTCCTTCTACTCCGTCAAAATCAAAATTCCCACCACCATTACTTCCTCCGCCAGCCCATGCTTCTTCCCCTTCCAATCGAGATCTCTTCCTCTGCCGACCGCCAATTCTACCACCGCCTCTCCTGTAGAATCCCCGATGTATTTAACAATTCTCCTCCATCGGCAACCCCACCGGCACACTCTACGGATATGCCGCCGACTCCAACATCCTCCTCCATCTCTTCTCCGATGCGTTCCACTCCCCCTGATGTGTCTACCCCGCCAACGGTCGCCCCTAGCCTTTCTCAAAGTGTCTTCTCCCCGGTTGCGACTCTTTAGAGGCATCTGTGCCGGCCAATTCAGCGACGCCGGCGGAAGCGCCTATAGTTTTCCTGTCTACTAGCTCTCCACCGGCGACGACTCAAGTGGCGCCGGACGCGACACTGGGTCGGGAGAGTTGAGGAGGCGCTTGTTTCCCATTCGAGGGGAACATATCTTTAAATATATTAAAGTTAGTTTAGGGTTCTTTTAATTTTAATTGATTTTGGATTAGAAAATAATAAAAAGGAATTAACAGCATGGACAATTTGTTCATTTTTAGTTAGTGGTGGCAATTGGATCGGATTCGTGGATTGGTGGATTGGATTGGTGGATCCATTGATCAAATGGATTGGATCCAATGGATTGGTGGATTCATGGATTGGATCAAATGGATTGGTGGATTGATCCATGAATCCAAATGACATCCAAGGCTTGGACCAAAATGTAAATTTTGAAAACTTTAGGTACTAAAATGTCATAAATGAAAATTTTAGGTATCAAAATGTAATTTTCCAATGATATTTTTCGTATAAAAATATAAATTTTAGGTACCAAAATGTTAAATATAAAAAATATAGGTACCAAATCATAATTTGCCATTTGGATCCATGGATTGATCCATGAATCCACCAATCCAATTGGATTTGGATCAAATGGATTGGATTAGGTGGATAATTTGGTGGATGGATTTGATTGGATTCATGGATTTAGATCATAATTGCCACCTCTATTTTTAGTTCATTTAACGGCCACTTAACAGATAATTAGACGGAATGATAAGTTTGTTACGTTTTAATATTAAAGGGGTATGGTTGTGCAAAAATTTAATAAAAGAGTATGTTTGTTAATTTGCGAAGGTAGAGGGGTACAAAATGCTATTAACCCAAAGTTATTCTTGAAACTTATATGTTTTGCATGCCCAAAGCAAATTTGCATTTGTATTACTAATTCTAACTACAAAATCAAACCCCCTTCATCATTATAGCATAAGGGGGGTTAGGATTAAAAATATGATGTTGATGATTGACAATAGATTATATCTTTGAGATATTTATGTGAGTTGTACAAATAATTTTACCGTAACAAGTTGTCACCGTCATGTTATTATGGTATTTTTTACTCACATTATAAAAGCTTCTTATTTGAATTCCGTTTTCTCCTACCAAAGTTGTTTTACAATCCTTATTCTACACTCCCATTTAAACGGAAGCAGATAAGGTCAGTATCTGATGGGTTAGTAACCCATCAGTAATCCCTTCTCCTGTCCCCACGTGTCAGTCCTCTTTTTTATTTAAATAAAATGCGAAAGGGCAGTAAGGTAAAATTGCACTTACCCCTATTTATTGCTGACGCTGACTTTTGACCGGACCATATCAGTGTCTCTTTCTCTCTCCTCGAAAAACCTTTAATTTTCCTTCCTTTAGTCTTTAATAGACGATTTCTCACTCGTTTTAAGTCGGAATTTAATTTTTTTTTTGCACAGTTAGATCAGATCAATTGTGCTATTCAAAATGATATCCACTTTGATATTTTTTGACACAAAAAAATTTGTCAGTTATTACCAGTCTATACCATATGATATTGACTGGTATTAAATAAGAGCATACCATATGGTATGAAATTTTTTTGCTACATCAATATATATTTCGTTACTACCCAATACCATATGGTATAGTGTGGTAATATCAATATATATTTCGTTCTCACCCAATACCATATGGTATAGTGTGGTAATATCAATATATATTTCGTTACCACCCAATACCATATGGTATAGTGTGGTAATATCAATATATATTTCGTTACCACACAATACCATATGGTATAGTGTGGTAATATCAATATATATTTCGTTACCACACAATACCATATGGTATAGTGTGGTAATATCAATATATATTTCTTTACCACACAATACCGTATAGTATAGTATGTTAATATCAATATATATTACTTAAAAGAAAAAAAAACATAAGGAGGGAGAGGGAAAAAAAACTCATCATCTATCTCGTCTCATTTCCTCCGCAATCAAGAACACCAAACACTAAAAAATGGAGAAAGACCGAAATTGAGGCCACCGAGTTGATAAAGAGAAAAAACGCAATAAAAGAAGGTGGCTGCAATTTTTCTTCGTCGATTGCTGGAGAAAAAAACTAAAAAAGAAGAGAAGAAAGCAGATTTAGATATGGAGAAAGAGATTGGAGAGAAAAAAGGACGAGCGAAAGAGAAAGGATATGAAGAAACGGAAAATACCAAAAAGTTCAAATTCACAACTAAAGGAGATTGGGAGAGAAAAGGGAAGAGAGAAGGGAGAAAGAGAAAAGAGAGTTGCAGAGAAATGATTCTCTCTCCTCTTTTGAAAAGACAATCATTAAAAGTGGTCTCCTTTTTTGAAAAGACAACCATTAAAATCGGAATATAATAAGAAATTAAAATTAAAATTTATAAACGGACAAAATGTTGTTCTGGACCTCGCATTCAGCCTAGCCACATGATGGATCCGCCCCCTAGATCTACGGTATGCGTGCATTTACTGATAGGTCAGTAACCATTTGTTACTGACTCTATCCCAGACCCATTTAAACAGATGAAGGAAATGCACTTGTATAAAATACATCAATGCACAGGGAAACTGGAAAATTGATATTTCAAAAATCAAAACATTCCTCCTTCCATAATCAACAAGGTACAAGTCATAAACCAACCCAATAAAGTAGAGTAATAAAACATTACTACTAGCATATTTTGTACACGCATCTTTTATATGTCATGCTTTAAGATATCATAGGACAAACCAACTTATTTCGTTGACTTAAATTGTTTGAAGAGTCCTTAATTGAATTTTAATTCCGTAATCACTGTATTTGGTTATAAAGACCAAAGTGAAATTCTAATCAACAACATTTACATATATCGCCTACCAAAACTTAAACATGTCGATTTGATCTTTGTGGAATACAAAGGCTCTCTTTCACAGGAAGGTTCACCAATCACCATTGTCATTAGCATTACCATTACCATTACCATATTTAATCATAACCCAATTTCATTATAAATATAATAATATCTCTGTCGAAATGACACTACCAAAAAAGAGGACCCCCACCACCATTAACACTATTATAAATACCACATCAAGCTGCCACCACATAACCTCAAACCAATTTCCCATTAACCAAACCTCAAGTCTCAATTAGCAACACAAGCGATTATTCTGCACCTTAATCCCCTACATATAGCTACAGAGTTGCTCTGTTTTTTTCCCCATCTCCCCTGACCCAGAAGAGAAAATGGTGTTCAAGCTCAACAATCAGATGCTCTCAAAGATGGCCATCGGTGACGGCAACGGTGAGAACAACTCCTACTTCGACGGCTGGAAGGCCTACGACAGCGACCCCTACCACCACCACAACAACCCCGACGGCGTCATCCAGATGGGTCTTGCCGAGAACCAGCTCTGCTTCGATTTGGTGGAAGAATGGCTAAAGAAATACCATGTTGCCTCCATTTGCACCCCCGAAGGTGTTGGTGGCTTCAAGGACGTCGCCATCTTTCAGGACTACCATGGATGGCCAAAGTTCAGAAATGTAATAACACCATCCCTTCTTCCCCTGTTTTTCATTTCCTACTTACCCTGCTTTCCCTTTTTGGGTCTTTTAGTTTATTTCTACTAATTGGGGTTGGTTAATTAACTATCGATCTGCAGGCGGTGGCGAAGTTTATGGGAAAAGTGAGAGGAGACAGATTGAGCTTCGACCTAGACAGGATTGTTATGGCCGCCAGAGCCACCGAAGCTCACGAGACCGTCGCTTTCTGCTTGGCGGATCCCGGCGAGGCTCTGCTAGTGCCCAACCCTTATTATCCAGGGTAATTACTCTCTACTCTACAACTCCCCCCACCCCCAAGAGTTGACGTTCTTAACAAAAAGAAAAGTAAAATCATATTATACTCTATTTTGACGGAACAGTGTATCATCTTGATGAGTTGAATTAGTCTAATTCGATTCGAGCTAGATTTTAGAGTTTTTGGGCCATCTTCTCTTCTTCCTCCTATGTTCCTCTCATCCTATCCCCTTCCCTTCCATCCACGGGGGCAGACAATTGACCTAACACACTGACCTATATATTTATTCTTGTCAGGCCACCAATATGCAACCATTTGAGAGTGCCATCACTCACTTTGAACCCCGTTAAACAAAAGGGTTCCTCAAAAGTCAGAAAGAGGGACAGTTGTTCTGTAAACAAGTCGGCATCACAAGTTTTAATTGGTATTTAGGGTTTTAATCCCCCCATAGTCCCTTGTTTGTTGGTTGGTCCAGCCTGAATTATTGGTGGGTTGCTTAGCAAAAGTCATCCTGTTTGTCAAACTGTAAACAGAGACGGTGCGAAACTGCGTCACTATCTACGATTATGAAACGATGTTTTTTCTAAATTTCGTCTTCCTTTTGTTGCTTGACAGATTCGATCGCGATTTGCGGTGGAGGACGGGAATCCAGCTCGTGCCGATCGAATGCGACAGCGCGAACAACTTCTAGCTGAGGATGGAGGACCTGAAAGCTGCCTACGAAATGGCAAAGCTGAATAACATTCGAGTCAAAGGGCTACTGTTGACCAAACCGTCCAACCCACTGGGGATGATTATCGATGGTGACAGCTTGAGAAGCATCGCCGCCTTCACCAACGAGAAGAACATCCACCTGATCTGCGATGAGATCTACTTCACCACGTCTTCGGCAAGCCCAACTACATCAGCATGGCCGAGATCGTCGACGAGGACCGGAGGAGCGGCGGCGGCAAGAACAGTCTCAACCTAGACCTGATCCACATAGTCTACAGCTAGTCAAAAGACATGGGATTTCCGGGCCTGCGGGTTGGGATAGTCTATTCATACAACGACGTCGTGGTGGGCTGCGCGCGGAAGATGTCGAGCTTTGGGCTGGTCTCGGCCCAGACCCAACACATGATCGGGTCCACGCTGTCGGACGAGGAGTTTGTGGAGGAGTTTCTCGGGGCGAACCAGGCCAGGCTGGCGGAGCGGCACAGGGCGTTCACGGGCATGTTGGGTCGGGTAGGGATCCGGTGCCTGAGAACCAGCAACGCGGGGTTGCTCGTGTGGATGGATTGTAACATACCATTCCGGCAAAACCCATATTTTTTATCGCTAGAAAGTTCGCGATTTAAAATCGAGCGTTTTGATAGTATTTCGGCGAAAATCGGATTATCAATCGATTGGATAAGTATACGTATTAATTATATATATTATATAATATTATATATATATGGGGAGTTCTACGGTACCCAGGGTGAAATCCGGGGTACCGCATACCTTGAGTAAGAAAACGCTATCCAGAACTTGAATTGACCGATCTTTCGGACATGATACTGTACTCTAACCCTTAAAGATCAAAATTTAAGTCTTAATTCTCTAAATCTTATACCCTAAGATCAATTTAATTAGAAACAATAATCGACGGTTATGATTCGTCCAAATATAGGCAAAAAAATCAATGCACCATCTTAGGGTTTATAGCTTATAATTTAGATAATTAGGACCTAGGGTTCACTCATTAAGGGTTAGAGTATAGTATCTTGCCCAAAAATCCTGCTAATTCGAGGTCTAGATAGCGTTTTCATACTCAAGGTATGCGGTACCCAGGATTTCACCCGGGGTACCGGAGAATGCACCATACATATATATATATATATATATATATATATATATATATTAACAAGCGGTCATGTATAAGTTACCCGTCCATTTCCATCACCATCACATTCCAATTCTTCTTCTTTCTTTTCCGGCCGAGAGAAACCGAGAGTACAGGGAGCGCAGGGGAGACACAGCAGGAAATTCTCCGAGCTCGATTCTTGAGCTCTAGCAATCCAAAAATCCCTTAAGTAATGCCTAATTCATCTATACATCGTGATTTATCGATTTAGAGCTTTAAAACGAGTTTTGGTTCAGGAATTTCTTGAATTCCCGATAAGCCAAATTAGGGTTTCGGAGTATCCGGAAGCCGGATTGAGCCCAAATTTCATATACGAGCTTCCTGCAGCGAGGTAATTAATCCTCTAGTTCTAATCCCTGAATTTCGGCAATTATTTAGGCCGGGGTCCAAAGCGCTGAATTTAGCTCCGGCCTGGGTTTGATGTGTTTTTATCAAGAATTTGACCCGAAGCCTAGAACTAATATTGACGGGGATACTGCAGGGGATATTCAGACGGTCTCGGATTTTAATTCGGGGTTCGTTCGAGAAATTGACATTTTAGTACGGGGAAGCTTAAACCGGTGTTTGAACGACCAGAGATGGTGAGGGATTAGCACGGCATACCGGGTTTGTCGTATCACGATAATTATATTGATGCTTAAATTTGATCTAGGTGAACTAGAATGGCATGATTAGGGGTGTATGAACTTTTGTGTTATATGTTGAACCCTGGATTGCTATATGATATTATTGACTTGCCATAATCGATATGAACCTTGTTTACGCTGATGATTGTGTATATGTTGCAAATTGTGGGCTGGACTGTTAATATGCTTTACGATGGTTCGAGAAGGTGATTAGGTATGACTTTTCATGATTGTTGTATTTGGATGCACAAGTGGGAAAATATATATTCCCTGGTGATATTGTGATGTTTAAGGAGGATGACTTGCACGAGGGTTTATCCCGAGGAAGTAAAATTATACGACTCCTGATTTACCTATGTTGAGCCAATTATGGCCAGGTCAAGTACATGTGCAGGTAATGAATTATGATTAAGCAAGATGAGATATGAATCATGTATAAGGATACCAAATATGAGTGTTGTGGTCTCACGGTCAACTACATAGTAATTAGGGCTCCCTATGCTATTACTCTATTATGATATGTATGATAGTCACACCTCTCATGTGGTGGTGACTGAAGAAATCATATGAGATATGACCACACCCAGAGCTGTGTCGGGGTATGACTACACTCATAGTGGTGTGGGGTATGTATGACCACATCCGACGGGATGTTGGGGTATGTATGACTACATCCGACGGGATGTGGGGTATGTTTCCCGGGAGAGTTATTAGCATGGGAGTAACCAGGCGCCTATGATTAAAACATGATAAGATGCATATGCATAAGTCAAGGTGGTTGAGTCTTTTGCCTATTGGGATATGAGGATGGCTGAGGTCCGATCCTAGTGTTTTGGCTTGATTGTTCGATGTATGATAGGGGTATGCTCTGTTATGAACTCATGATGCTATGATTATCTCACTCAGCGAGAAATTTTACAATGCTATATAGTATTGGTGCTATAGGTTTTTGCCTTTATGGTACAACTTGAAATTGTACCTTTAACGTTATGGTACAACTTCACATTGTACCTATACTTATTGTACAAATTCTTTTATGGTACAACTTAAACTTGTACCTTGTGTGATGGTACAACTTCAAGTTGTAAAGTTGTACCATAACATAATGATACAAATTCTTTTATGGTACAACCTAAACTTATACATTTAATGTTATGGTACAACTTCAAGTTGTACATTAAAGCACCAATACTATATAGCATAGTAGAAGTGCTCCTCACTCAGCTATGAGCTGACCTTCTTTTATTCTTCTTCTCTGCTTATGCTATGTGTAAGCTGATCATCATCAGCAGCAGTAGATAAGTGTTAGGTGGCAGAGGAGCTAGAGTTGAAGCCAGGATGAGGTATGGTCTTCAACTATTCTGTGCTTGGACTACTACTCGGGATTTTGGCCAGTGATCCACATCTTATTGTAAAAATGTTTTGAGAACGTTTTTCATGTGCATACTAGCTTCTGATGTAGTGTGAGATATCCACAGGTGTGGAAAGTTGATGACATGTGTATATGTTGTGTAACTGTGTAAGTTGTGACGATTATGGTATGTATAAGTATGGTATGCAGTTGTGGAGTATGAAAAGTGTGACTATGGCTAAGAAAAGCCAATGCATATGGTTGTGAGTATATATGTTTGTGATGAATTATTTTGCAGGATAAGTTGCAAGAACTGTTAGCCCATTAAGCGAGTAATTCATGTCGAAATTTTATTTGGGTAAATTTTGATAATTAATGTAACACCCGAGATTAATTCCGCTGCAATTGTATGAACAATATGATTAGGCAAAACGTATAGGGTAGGGTGTTACATGGGTCTTCAGCGATGGTTGAAGGAGAAGATCGTGGAGGCGGAGACGACGCTTTGGCGGGTTATAATCAACGAGGTTAAGCTCAACATCTCGTCGGGGAATTCGTTCCACTGCTCAGAGCCGGGTTGGTTCCGGGTTTGCTTCGCGAATATGGACGACAAGACGATGGAGGTGGCGCTGGGGAGGATCAGGGCTTTCGTTGCGAAGAACAAGGAGGCGATGAAACCGGCGAGGAAGCTCTGCGCGCAGAGCAGATTGAAGTTGACCTTCTCCGAAAGGATTTACGACGAGTTTATTATGTCCCCGAGGTCGCCGATCCTGCAGTCGCCGTTGGTTCGAGCCAAGACTTGATTAAAAGAGGGGTTTGGGGAGGGGTGAAAGTATTTTACCTAGCTGGCTAACTAGGGAAGTTAACAACCACGACCGGGGGAAGTAGTTTAATCATGGTAAATAATAAAGAAAATGACATCACGATTAGCAAGTGTGAGCTAAGGATATATGATTCTTCTTTTTATATCTGTTTTAGTGACCCTAAAACTAGATGTACAAGAATCATATGTAGTTGGGTAGAAGAATGGATGCTATTAATGTTGTGTGTTTATTGCTAATATACAATATTGGTTATGAATTGCTATTCGTCGCCCTAAAATTCAAATTTTGTCGTTCTAAAATGCGCCAAATTGACAATCTTACCCTGTGACCCCAATTTCTAATCAAAACTCTAAACAAACAATTCCTTATTCATCAACTCACAACACATTTCCACATTCGAAACTTGAAATGTATGCATCTGGATTCACAAAAATCTAGCCTCTTAGGCACAGCAGAGCTCGACTCTTAATTCCCAATAGAACATTAAATTTGGAATCAAAAGAAGCTTATGAATGAACCTCATAACAGAATAAATGAAGCTTATATATATGGGTGCCCCGACTGTCATGTGAATTAATGAACTATCTACAACCCTCATGTGCTTTCCCTTTCTCAACCCTATCTTGGCGCGAAAAATGAAAAATTTGTCGTTGTGAAAATCAGACTCGGGCTGCTCAGAGATGTTGGGCTTTGGCAGGTCTCAAGTCCAATTTGAATGTTTTAGTTCAAGCTCACCGCTTTGGTTAAGGTGTTGCGTTTTATGTTAGAGTCGGTGTCTTGGTCAAGAAACAATGAGTCGTGGGTCATAAGTTAGTTTGTTAGGCTGTTAGCTAGTCTCATGAATTGAGGGAGTTAGTAGTGGTTAGTGGCTGTCGTGTTTCAAGGCAAAACATATGTATATATTTGTTTGATTTCATTCAATAAAGCTCGTCAGTTTGCTTCATTTCTTTGATAACATAGGGGTATCAGAGCCCTAGCATACGGTAAGCAGCAATCTATGCAAACATCAAAAGTGAGATCTGTGTCAGAATTGATTTCTGGGTTTGGGAAACATGAGAGAGCATAGTGAGAGGGTGCTTCGTGGGGTGAGTGAAACACGAGAGATTGAGAGGTCAATCAAGTGAGTGAGAAGCTAGCAAGATGAGTGAAAACTTTGGATTTGCTCAAGTGTGTATTCCACGCTTTGATGGTGACTATGACCACTGGAGTTTGGTCATGGAGAATCTTCTCAGATCCAAGGTGTTTTAGGATATTGTGTCCACTGGAGTCCAAGCACCTGCAGCTGGAGCCGAACTGACTGCTGAACAAAGCAAGCAGCTGAATGATTTGGGGTTGAAGGATCTGAAAGCATAGAACTACCTTTTTAAGTTCTATTGTGAAGTCGATCCTGAAAATCATAACTCAAAAGGCCACTGCAAAGGAGCTCTGGGCCTCTATGAAGATAAAGTATCAGGGGAGTCCTAGAGTGAAAAGGGCTCAACTGCAAACTCTGAGTATAAGCTTTGAGGTGCTAGCAATGAAGACAGGTGAGATTGTGAATGATTACATTGGTAGAGTAATGGTTGTGGCAAATGCAATAAGAAACTGTGGGAAGGAGGTAACTGATGTGAAAATTGTGGAGAAAATCCTAAGAACTATGACAGAAAGGTTCAATTATATTGTGTGTTCTATTGAGGAATCAAAAAAACATAGATAGTCTTACTATGGGTGATCTCCAAATTTCATTACTGGTTCATGATCAGAAGTTTGTGAAAAAGGAAGATGGGGATGATCAAGCTTTCAAGATCAGTCATGACTTTCGAGGTAGGGGTGAAAGAGGTCAA